GGACTTTTGGCATTAATTCAAATAAATTTTCACTCAATAAAACTTTGTATTTTCATAAACTGAAACTTTCAATCATTTTAAAAATTAAAATAATTTCATTATTGTTTACCATTTAAAATACATGAAAATAATAAAAATACAGAATATTTTCATTTTTTTTAAAAGTACGAAAAAAAATTTTAAGTACGTGAAAAAAATTTCCAAGATAAAAGTTACACAAAAACATGTGGCTGATGAAGATTGATTTAAACCAATCATATTTGAGAAAAAGGGGGTCTAGGATAAAGGCCTACCCCTTTATTTATACATGGGGTTGCCCGATTATAATGGATTAAGTCACGTGCTGTGACTGCCAATCAAAATTTTGTGCGTTGTTCATCAATAAATTCATTCGATAAAAATATTGCGACGCGTCTTTTTGCTCTAAATTTCAGTTAAGCAGTTAAGTGTTATGAATGTTTTGCAAACCCGGTATTTCCCTGGCCTGTAATTCCACTGGAGGTCGCTCGCTTTGGTGTTGTCGGAGGAATATTGTATAGCTTTTCGAAGATATGGTAGGGTTCTGGCTCTTCCAGCCAGCATTTACCTGGCCTGTAATTCCACTGGAGGTCGCTCGCTTTGGTGTTGTCGGAGAAATGAATGCATCAATACAATTTGGGATGCATTGATCTTACCATAACTGAAAATAGTTGGGTTGAAAAATGAAATATCATTTAATAATTATTATGGAACTTTTTACTAACTTTTCTTGTAATAATAACCACCTATTACGTTTTTAGATGACGATGGCATGTATATATTTTTTTTTATTGATCATTACTGATTAATATATAAACTAATTATTATCCAATTTTAATTTTAGGATCACATTTATATCCTAAAAGAAGTTATTTCAGAGGGTTTTACGGCTAGCAAATTTTTTAAAAAATTAGGATATCAATTTTCTCAAAGAGATCAAGCTGAAGATGATTTGCGGAAAATTTTGAAAAAACTTGCTTCTATGAATGATGATGAGTACTCCCAGCGAGCAGAAAGCCTTTCAAATGTGATTGACAAACAATTGTATTCTATTAATGTAGAGCAGTATTGGAATAGTGTTCGGATACAAAATGAGCAAAACACAACTCGCGTTAATCAAATTATCATGGAAGAGAAAAAGGTTAGTGCTTACATTTGTATTGTAGGCTATAATTGATTTTTTACTAATTTAGAATTATTTAGAAACAACATAAATGTCTTGTTGATTCTAATGTTATAACCGAGCATGACATATCAAGTACTAAATTAAGATCAGAATTTCAAAAAATAGAGGTAAGTTGATCTGATAGCCTGACAATTCAATTCTCTTTTCTTAATCTGACGCCAGTATCATTTGTATCATTAGAATGAATTTATTACTCCTCAAAGAAAACGAACAAATATTGATTTTGATGACGAATGGGTATTTAAAAGACCAAATAACAATGATTATACTTCACCTTTACCATACAATATCGTATCAGGAGGATATTCTCTGACTGATAATCCATTTATCAAACTGATCGAGGAGGATGAAGATAGTTTAACAATTGATGATGTTGGTGATCTTTGCTTTGAGAAAAATGAGCAATTATATGATCATAAAATAAAAAATACCAACGTGTCTCTGTTATTCAGACTATATCAAAATGAATCGGTTAAGATTTCAAAAAATGGGGGTTTGACTGTGGAATCTAATGTTCACGAAATCTTGTCCTTGTCATCAATTTTTTTATTAATTCCTGGATCACATTCAAAAACAATGATTAAAATGTTTGGATCAAGTCTCCTAGATGAAATATGTCAACACGTTATTCCGACTCAGAATATAACACTTAATTCAGAATATGAATTAAAATTTCGGGAGGCAATCAAGAAGTCAAAGGAATCTCGTGTCTGTGCCATGAATTGGTTTCATAAGGAGTTAGCAGATAATCATCTTTTAAATGAAAATTTGGGTAATATAATTTTAAAAGGTCTAGAAACACTACCTAGTGTGAAAATTAGAAATGAACCCAGCGAAATTACTTTAATTACAAATTATTTAGATTATATAATGAAAAGCACATTTCATAATCCTGATAAATATATTGTACAATGGCCGAATATAGCTTTGAATGAAAGTAAAACACGAAAATTTGAAGGTAGAAGTAAACAACCAGATTTCACTGTTTCAATTATTCACCAGCATCAAACAGAATCTGTTATATTTGTGGGTGAAGTCAGCCCACCTTCTCAAAAAAACAATGTATATAAAAATTGTAATGATCTTATTAGAATTGGCGTGTTTATGAAGGATTGCATGGATTTTTCGATAGATAAAGGTGCGGATGTTAATATAATAGGATTTCAGTGTGTTGGTAAGTAAATTGATATAATGTATGTTTTTAATAGTAAATTGTTTTAACCACTTCTATTTCATATAGATTATACGATCGACTTTTATATGTTGGATTTTAAAAAAGGAACATATTTTATGCTCCATATTGGTCAAATTAATGTACCAGCATCAATAAAAGAGATGTTGTCCTTTGTTGATGAACTGGAAACACTTTTGACAGTTCGAGAGATTTTTCAAAAAACATATAATGCGCTGTATACTAAGCTCTGTAATCCGGGATTGCCATTAACAAATGCAGAATACAAACGTGATACCCTCGAAACTCCCAAATTTAGGCAACTTGTTAACAAAACACGTGATTGCCATCGAATATGCCCCTTCTGGTATGGACGTTTCTAAATGCTCTTATTTGAAATATATTAAACACTTGTTATAAATCATACAACCTGTAATGCAAATTGATGACAATAAAAATAATCATTAAGCTTGTGATTCAAAGTTTTAATATTATTCAATAAGACCGGAATAATTATATATTGTCTTCATAATATAAAACATGTCAGGACAATTCAGTTTCTTTTTGCTATGTAATATTCTATAATTTCTGAATAAAAATCACATGAGCGTTACAAATTGTAACGCCGATCACTTTTGCCAAGAAAATTCTACATGTACTAAACACGATTATATATGTATATATGTAAAATCGAGCCACCAGGCATGCTTTATTGATACAGAAAAAAATAAAAAATAAAATACAGGATCAAGATATATATTCTGCTACTATATAAAAATAATTTTACTTTCTCGGTCTTTTCTGAAAACTATTTACAATAGCCTGTAAATTTACGATAAGCCCATTCTAAATATTTCATTTATATATTAATAAAATTATCTTATAAACATCATTTTAGCAAAATTAAAAGAATATTTACCTGTAAAACCAATAGACTATAAACAAACTCTTCCACTTCATCAACCGTTTCTTTACCCAAGGGTATTTTCGATTTAACAACAGGTAGATGGTATTTTACACCTTTTTCCTTTTTTAATCCGTGAATCTCTATACACTTATCTGTAATATTTACACTGAACTCTATATAGTATTTTATAAAAAGATTTTTCATGCATCTTCTTTCAAGTTCTTTAGATCCATCTAAACAGAGTTGCACTAACTTATTATAATCATGATGAATCTTATCTTCACTGGCATCCCATTTTTCACTTTCAAAGAATATAACTCCTTTCCATTTCTAATAAAGATAAACACAATTATAATATCTGATTTATTACCTCTTGAAATGATTTTTTGATAAACTTTTCAGTTTTTACTATATTATAGGTGATAACATACAATAATAAACTTTTTCTCTTTATAACTCCAATTCCAAAATATTACATTATACATGTCATGGTAAATGTTTTATCAAAAACTTAATATGTAATTTTTAATATATAATATATAATTAATTACGTAATTAATTACAAGCTCAAGTGAAATTAATTACCACCTGGTAATTAATTATAAGATGGTAATTAATTATGAAAATGTAATTTATTATAAGAAATTAATTAATTAATTATTATAAAAATTATGATTATTATT